TGGAATAATATAGTGAAAAGAATGTGAATTGGGTAGTGAGAATAGGATAGAGAATGGAGATTGGACCTATGATTTCATTGATAGAGAGAATTCCCAGATGAGCAAACTCCTTCTATCAAAGCATGTGTTTAACTTCTCTGCAGCTTAGAACACTGAGAGTTTGAGTCACTTGCCTCAAGTAACATAACTAGTTTGTCTCAGAGAGCATGAAGCTCAGTTCTTCCTATTGTGAAGTCATCATGATAAAAATGCCTTCTGATTTGTGGTGGCTTCATAACCAAAACCACTCAGTTATGATTAGTATGAATTACTAGCAAACAGATTTAAGAACAAAGCTATCTTATATTCTGTTAGATAAGGAAGTAAAAACAGGATTTTCTTTTGGCATTCTTTTATGAGTTATTCTTGAGGTAAGAAGATAAATCATACATCGAGTTACATATTTATTAAAGTAACCTATTTCCAGTAAGTGAGAAAAACGATTAACTCTGGAAGTCAACAACTAAGAATTGCACTTTTCCAAAGTCCCAAGTGACAAAAGCATATATTATTAAATGTATCACTTTTTACAATTCAGTGTCAGAGAACTTTCACCCAGATGCCTTTATTCAGATAAACATGGAGGAAAACTATGAAGAGTAGGAAAACATACCTGAGAATTATCAAGGCAAAGTTTGGGGCCCAAGGGGCATTAATTGTTTAAGGAATGGAGATGAATGGAAACTCAGTGGTATATTACAGTGATGAAGACCTAATAGATACTACGTTAATACTTGCATAATTATTGCATATTGTTAAAATTCTCAACGTTTTACTTTCAAAGGTGAAGGAAATCTGAATATATCTAGGGCTTAATGGGCCCTTACATCTGTTATGTTTCATTGGCATAATCTTTGAGAAAACAGGGTGACTTCTCCACCATGATGAAACATTGAAATTGGACTTTAGTGAACTATTGTCTTTAAAAAAATATGGATAGACAAAACATAAAGGATGAAATGCCTCCTTGATACAAATAGATATTAAACTTACTTTATAAGCCTGCTTGCCCTTGGGTTTAAAGGCTCGATTTTTTTTTCATCATATTAACACTTGCCTAGAAGTAGTGATAACCAAAATCAAGGGTTACTTAGCTCTGATCCAACTATGTGATGGTTGTGCTACTTTGTAAAAGAGAAATTGGGGAAATTGAATTAATATGATTGTAGAACTGGTGTTAGAAGAAAAGTCATTTAGAAGTAAATGACCCTTACCTTAACAGTTGTTAGATGTATGTCTTGTTATATCTACATGTATGTTGCAAAGGATATTTTGGTCTATTTTCAATCTGAACCCTTTAATTGACTATTTGAATTATAATAGTGTTACATTGAACTAACCAGGATAATAATTGTACAAACTTGAATGACTATCTTTTTTTGACTTTTTAATATTTTTGCATGCATCTTCCAAAAGGCATTGAGCTCTTAATTCAGAACTCTCTTGTTAATACTATTTCCCTAATTCTGAATACTGTAGATGTTTGCATTGAATTTTTTATTCTAATCCTATTTCTCATTATGGATATCATAAGTAATTTATTCTAAAATTAAGCCCAATTACTGCTAGTATACTATTTTCAGTTGGAAAATAGGACTGTCATATTTCTCATTATGGATTTCAGACAATATAATGATCTCTGTAATGAAGCCCTTCTAATTTTATCTAGCTGTAAAATATTGACTAATTACTATTAATTGTTTGTTGTCATAGTTGCCATTTAAGTCATGTAGCATGGCACAAAGCTCATAATTTATATTGAGTTAAAAATAAAATTGACAGTAACAGTCCTCATTAAAAGCAGATGGACCAGACTGAAGATTAGAGAGATTAGACCTAGAGACTAGAAAGACTTATCAGGGAAAGTGATTAGTGAAGGTCCCTGGTACTAGCAGTAAGAGGAAGTCAGACAAGATATGGACAATTGTACCTTTTATGGATGGGAAAGTCCATAAAAAGACATCAGGAAGATGTCTATATATAATTTTCATGATTAAAGCCAGCTGTTGAAAAAGTATGGCAAGAGGCAGAAAATTTAGGTCTAGGCAGGGATGTCTACCAGTGTACAAGCAGATCTTTTAGCAAAAGTATGGGATATAAAAATCTAGCGAAAAATAGTAGTTCTAAATCCAGCCAGGCTAGTCCTAGGGAAGTCTCGTAATATGAAATGAGGACTCTGCCATAGGGATTCAGGTTCAGGGATGACTCCAGTCCCCATAATATTTTGTGGAAGCAAGGAAGAACTTTGTCTCAAATTAACCATAGAGTTGGAACGAGAACCAAGACAAGCACTATCCCATTAGGTATTCTCCTTCACATCTCACCTAGACTATTGCAATAGCTTACTAGTTTATCTCCATGGCTCAGGTCTCTCCCTTCTTGATTTTTTTGTATATAATATTTTCAAAGAGATCCTCCTAAAGTGCAGGGTCTAACCATGTTACTCCCCTACTCAATAAACTCCTTATTGCCTCTAGGCTCAAATTAGAGGCCCATTATTTGACTTTTGAATTCCTCAACTTTACCCCAACCTACCTTTCCAATCTGTTATATGCTACTCCCCTTTATACATGCTACACTCCAACCAGAATGACTTTCTTGCATCCTAACACAGGGAATTCCATCTCCAATGCATTGTACTGACTCTCCTTTATTCCTAGAATACACTTCTACCTTGCCCGTAACCTTTTCAAACACCTTATTTCCTTCAAGCATATGCTCAAACACCATTGTCTAAATCAGGGGTATAGAAGCTGTGCCTTCTAGGTCCTCAAGTGTGTCCCTTTGACTGAATCCAAAACAAATTTGTTCTGTGAAGTTTGGGTTCAGCCAAAAAGTCACACTTAGGGGGCCACATTTGGCCTTGAGGGCATAGGTTCTCCACTCCCGTATCTAAATGAAGTCCTTTCTGATCATCTCAGCTTTTGATGTCTTTTTCTCCATAAATATACTGTTCATTTATTTTATATAAAACTTATTTCTATTTGTCTTCCCTAGTAGAATGTAATCTTCTTGAGGATAGGCATACTTCATTTTTAGTTCTGTATTATCCCCAGTGCTTGACACACAGCAGGAACTAAATAAATATTTGTTCATTGATAGCTTGAATAAGATGCTAGTGTAAATACGGAGTCATGATTGGGTTCTTTCAAAAAGAAAAAGTGGTTAGCTCTCAGTCTTATGGCCATCTTTACTATGAATTACTGAGTTTTTTTATATACTTAAGATAATAGAATTTAGAATAAGCAGCAATCTTAGATCACTTAGTTCAAAGTTTTTATTTTATAGGTTTGCCAGTTGGGACACAGAAAGCTTCATTCATTGCCTTGCAATAGTCTTACAGTTATTAAGCAGAAAAGCTGGGATTTGAAGCCAGGTTGTCTTATTCCAAATCTAGTGGAGTTCTACTACATCATGCTATCCCTTGGAAATATCAGTAACTGGTATTTCCATTACCTTTTCTATTTTGGGGTAGCTTCTCATATTTTGTCCTATTTTTGACTCAGCCTGTGTTTTGATTTTTGTTCCTCCCTGCTCCCGTAGGCTTTAGTGTTCTTGGCTAACTTCCTAGTTACTAACTTCTGTTTCTTTTTACAATGTCTATTTTTTCTCTTGATTTCAAATTAATTTTTTTTTCAATTAGCAAAAATCTATTTTCTTTCCCATTTGTCTCCTTCCTTCATTGAAAAGAAAGAGAAAGAAAACCCTTGTAACAAATATTTATGGACAAACAAAACAAATTTCTGCATTGGTCATGTCCAAACAAAATATGTCTCAGTCTTCACCTTGAGTCCATCTCTGACAGGAAATGAGTAGCATCTTTCATTATGATCATCTGGAATAGTTTTTGGTCATTGTATTTGGTTATTGCATCTAACCAAATTTCTCTTCCATTAAACAATCTTTGATCATTTTCTTATTGCCTCTAAGATAAAATCCAAATTTGTTAGCATGACACAAGGCCTCCATGATTGACCTAAAAGGGGTCACATTTCTTTTAGAGTATAGACTTAGTCATTACAGGTGAAAACTCAAGTGGGAGACACATCTGGAGGTAGGTCAGTTTGAATGCTGCTACACTTTATAGAAGCTTCCCTCACCAGAATAACAGATACAGCTCACCAAATTAAATTATCATATACTTTGCTACTCAGTGACTTCTATGCAAAGGAGAAAATAGATTATGATGTTAAGAAATACATTGAAATTATGGAACAGGTATAAGGAATAAGAGAGGCTAGTAACCTTTAGATTACAGAGAAGTCTCATAACTATATCTCATGAATATTTTATTGAAGAAAAGAATCAGAATGTGCTATGCATGACACATTCTGAATAACATCACAAAATGAAATTAATCATATTTTAACATATACCAAAGGAGTAGTTATTGATGTGGTGATCATCTTTGAATCATCTGTCTGAGCTTAGTCGATGTAAATAAGTATTACAGATAACTCTTCCAGTTCAAGACCAACTAACAACTCTTTAGTTAGGGCTTGAGATAGGATGGGATTATAGTTATACTCTAGTTCTTTTTCCTCTTGCAATTTTAAATTTTTTAGTGTATGGAAATGTCTCTTTTCCTTATTATTTCTACTCACTTTCCTCCTTCTTTACTCTACTTTTCCTTTCCCCCCATTTTTGCTCCATCTTTTCCTTTGCCATTCACTTTTTACTTTCTTCACTCCCCTTCTCCTGCCACAAATACATACCAACCTTGAGAAATAAACAAATAATAAGCATGTGAGATGAAACTTGTGGGTAGGCTTGATGAAAGAGAATCCATTCTATGTCTTTGCTCAGTCCTTAATGTGTTCTTTATTTGTCATCCAGCTTTCATTCTCCCCTAGGACAACAATTAAAACTTACTGGTAAAATGATGCTTTTCTAAAATTAATTTGCCTTTTTTCTTTTAATAATAATCACTGAATAAATTTTAATTTTTAATTGTAGGAGCTATGCCTGTTCCAGACCAGCCTTCATCTTCGGAAAAAACTAGTTCCCTGAGCCCTGTGTTGAATACATCCAATGGAGATGGATCTGAAACTGAGACAACCTCTGCCATTCTTGCATCAGTCAAAGAACAGGTAAAATAATTTGATTTATATGAATAGTGCTGTATTATCATGCACAATATCAAAATTATTTAACTATACTAAAGCATTTGCTGTTGTTTAATGTTTCTTTGGGTAACTTACATCCATTGTATTGGTTACTCAGATTGTAAAATTAATGTAAAATTGTACTACAGCAACATGATAGGAAGAGTGATATAATGGTAAAAGCCTTAGTCCAGAAGAAAATGATTATTGTCCTTACTACTTTATCTGCGTGACCTAGAATAAATCACTTTCCAGCTACAGTTCCTCAGTTGGTCAATGAGATGTTTGATCTAGCTGATCTCTCTGGTACCTTACAGTTATATGATTTTTATATGAATTATTTATGTAGATTTTTGTGATTATTAATATACTCTAGCTAGAGGCAAGTCAAGTTGGATGATTATATGAGACATAAGTGTGAGCACCTACTGGAGACTGAAAAACAAAGATAAATAAGGTGAAGTGAAAAAATTAGGATTTTTTTAATGAACTCTGTGTTTCTCAATTGTTACATATATGATCTTATTAGAAATCTGCATGTAGTAGACTTCTACTGGGCTTTTTTTTTAAGTGTCTGATTCAGAATTCTAATGGATTACACAATTTCAACAAAGACAACCTTTGCTTATGTACGAGAGTTCTCACACAATTGAGAGAATGACTGTATGAACTCCTGATTTTACCATATGATTTTTACTTATAAGAAGTGGATAGCAATGGCTTGTTCTAGTCTTCTCCCCCTTGTCTAATTACAGGTCAGTTAGTGGTGATTAGGTATTTTCTCTTACTTCTCACTCAACCAGTGAGTAAATTTCAGGTGGCTGTCCCTTATCCTGATTGGAAATAGGACTGGTTTGCAGATTTAGTCAGAGCTTTAGAGGCTAATGCAAGAATTTTTCTAGGAAAAAAAAAAACACTAGCTTTGCCTAGACGGAAATTCTGTTTGGTGACAAATCTATCTATCTATCTATCTATCTATCTATCTATCTATCTATCTATCTATATATATATATATATACCTCTCACCTTAGCCAAGCACACATACCCTGCTAATGGTGCATCAGAACTACCATTATCATATGTGACCTCTAGGGAACTTAAACAAATATATGCTCTAGTATCATATTTGTTTAACATTATTGAGGATTGACATATACTCCTGGATTTGTGAAATTTCCAGATGACTTAAGTTTAAAACCTTTAAGCATTGTGCACTTTCCAATTTGTTAATGAGAGTATTTCTGCAATATGTTACATATTTCCCTTCTTTATTAAGCAGAGTACACTTACTTTCACTAGCTATCACCCATACCTGAAATAGTCTCATCCCTCATTTCTACCTTTTAGCATCACTGCTGGTTTCTTTCAAGTCTCAACTAGTTATACTTTCTGTAAGAAGGCTTTTCCAGTCCTTAATCTTAGTGCTTTCCCTCTGAGACTACTTTCAATTCATCCTATATCTACACCTATCCCTATATTTATATCATCTAAATCTATATCATATATATAGTCTATATCCTGTTTGTATGTAGTTGTTTGCATATTTTCTGCATCATTAAACTATGAGCTCCTTGAGATCTAAGACCATTTGTTTTGTTTTGTTTTCTTTCTTTGTATATCCAGTGCTTAGCACAATATCTGACATATAGATGTTTAATAAATGCTAGTTGACTGATTGGTTTCATCTTTTGTTGATTTAGTTATCACTAATTCAGCTCAATTTGATTGAAGAAGCATTTATGAAGCCCTACTGTCCATGGCTCTGTCCTACAAACAGGAATCAAATTGCCTTCCAAGATTTTTCCAGGATATGCCCTATGTCCACATATCAGTAAATACTAGCTATTTTAAAAATGGAGAAAACATTAAGAATCAGGAATGTAATAGAAGACTTAGGACACATCTTTTGAATGTTTCCTTGTGTCAGAGACCCAATTGACAGTCTGGTGAAGCCTATGGATTCATTCTAGAAATTATATTTTTTAAATAATTGAAGGAAATACTAAATTTCAGTTAGTGATGACTGTAAATAGTCATTTTCCCTCTTCAAGCTCATGGACCTCCTGTTATCTATCCAAAACTCCCAAACTAAGAACTCCTTATTTAGGGACTACCAAAGTAGATAGGAACTATCTTACTTATTTACTATCTACTTTGGTAGTAGATAGGAACCATTTTACTTATTTCTGCCCCCTACTTTCTCAGCTGTCATTTTTCAGTGTGTCCACTTCCAGCACTCTCTTACCCCTTAGGTAGAAGTTTTCAGAGGGAATCTGAAGACCAAGATTCTTTAGTCAGAAGGCTTAATTTCACACATAATACCTAATCAATGCTTCTGGAGGTATGGAGATAATTTTTCTCCTGGGTTTAAAGTATTTCAACTTTGGGCTAGCAAGTCTTCATGGCACTTAGAAACCATTTTTACTTAGCTTCAGTTTTATGGCTTTATCCCCAAATGGTTCAGGTTACCAAAAGTATGACCACTGAATAAGGTAGTGTCATTGCATGCTTCAAATTGTCTTGCAATTAATTTCTAGTCATTTACCAGCTTTGTAATTTGGGAAGAATAAATACCTTTCATTGTATCCATATCCATTTATTTTTCCAGCAAATATTCATATAGCTCCTACTCTGTGGAAAATACTGTGTTAGATGTTCAGGATAACACTAATATAAATATGATTCAGTCACTGTCCTCTGAGGAGTTTATAATTTATTTCTCTGGGAATACACATTGGCTTTATACTGGTTTCTTGGGAGCAGCAAGGTGGCTCAGTGGATAGAACCTGTGGATAGCCCTGGATTCAGGAAGAGCTGAGCTCAAATCCGGCCTCAGACACATAACACTTACTAGCTGTGTGACCCTGTCACTTAGACTCCATTGCCCAACCCCCCCCAAAAAAATACTGATTTCTTCTTTTGCTCTCTACATGGTTAGCTTTTATCAAAGAATTTCATCACTGGATGAAAATATCTGTTTTTTCCCCCTGAGACTGTGATTTCAATAGAACCAGGAATTTCTGATGAGGTAGCTCCCTCTAAAAATGCATATTGGAAAGAATTACACAATTATACATATAAAAAACTGCCTACAGAACTTAATGATTAGGTAGCAACAACAACAACAATAATAATAACTAGAATTTATATACTACCTACATCTTAGACACTGCACTAAATGCCTTACAAATATTTTATCCTCACAACAACCCTGCAAGGTATATATTTTTATTATCATTTTATAGTTCAGGATACTGAGGCACACAGTGGTTAAATGATTTGCCTTGTGACACACACCTACTATGTGTCAGAGGTAAAGTATTAACCCTGGTCTTCCTGACTCTAAAGCCAAGTTTCTTTCCATCATTTTGCACTTTGATGTCCCCTCACTTAGAATGTATGCTTCTTGAGAGTAGAGACTATTTTTTTCTTTCATTTTTGTATTCCTAGAACTTAGCTAGCACAATGCTTTATACATTTTTGTAGTTGTTAGTTGTTTCAGTTGTTTCCAACTCTTCATAACCCAATTTGGGATTTTCTTGACAAAGATACTGGAGTGGTTTGTCATTTTCTTTTCCAGATCATTTTATAGATGAGGAACTGAGACAAACAGGATTAAGTGATTTGCTTCAGGTCACAAGCTTGAAAGTGTCTGAAGTCAGACTTGAACTCATGAAGATGAGTCTTCCTTGACTTCAGGCTTGTACTCTATCTCCAGTGCCATCTCATTGACCCAGTCCACTTTATACAGACTAAGCACTAAATAAATTCTGTTGGATTACATTAGATTGAATGGAATTGGATTGGATTAGAGTAGATTGGATGTGATCAATCTTTACTCAACCCACAGAGGTCAAACTAGTAATCCTAGTCCACAAGCCATCTTTAATTTTGTGAATATTTCCCAGATGTTATGGTAAATAGCCCAACATTTATCTTCCACTTTCTTAGGATGATAATGAGTCTTTCACTCTGCTATAGACCTTTGGAAGATGACTCTAAATTATGACCACATTGTATCTACATGTGAACCCATTTTATCTGAATAAGAAATTTGTTGTAGAAAGCCCTCTGAAGTCAGAGGACCCAAGTCTGAATCAGAGATTAGTCATTTACTAACTATATGAGCTTGATGGAAATATTTATGCAATAATAACCTTTCTGAGTCTCAGTTTCTTGATTTGTAAAATGAGTGCATTAGACTAGAAGATGTCTAAAGTCCCTTGCAGTTTTAAGAAACTATGATTCTTTGAATGCTAGAGTAGATAAAATATATATTTCTTGAACTTCATTGCTAGCTTAGAAAATATTTTTACTTACATATAAATTGAAAGTTTTCTCTAACATTTATTTAATTGTTGTGTGGTAAATCCCTCTCAATAGCAGGCTGTCTGGATATTAATAGGTTAATTATTATTGATTACAAACCAGTAAAAAAAAAGATGCATAGTGAGTAGCCTAAGAAATAGCAAAGAGGCAAAATGGCAGTGGATACCTGGAAGCTGATCTGCAGGGAGAGTGAAGAAAAGACAAGGAAAAAATGGATAGAGCGCTAGGCCTGGAGTCAGGAAGACTCATCTTTTTGAGTTCAAATCTGGCCTCAGACACAGACTAGCTGTGTTTCTCTTAGAAGGGAAATACTACTATGACAACTACAACTACTATTACTAGCATCTAACTCACAGGTAGTGACTGAGGCAAGATTATTATGATTGGCTTAAGTCACTTAACCCTGTTTGCCTCAGTTTCCTCATCTGTAAAACGAGCTGGTGAAGGAAATGACAAACCACACTAATACTTTTGTAAAAAAAAAAAAAAAAAGAAAAAAAAAAGAAACAACCCAAATAGGGTCACAAAGAGTTGGACACAACTGAAATGACTAAACTAAATAGTAACAAAGAGTAATAGATAGTTCAAATTCAAAGCCCAATTGATAAATTCTGTTTGCATTGTATTTGTAATAAATTTAAAATTTTTTCAGTTAT